TATATATAATTTAAGAAATAAGAAAATAAAAACAAAATGTTTTATATATCATTACCCACTGTGTTAAAAAAATAGACGAAAAAAATAATTTTCATTAATTTTATTAAATAATTATGAATTATAATCACGAATACAAAAAAAGCATGATACTATATATCAGAAATATAATTTATTTTTTAACATAATAAGTAATATGTTTATTTGCTTTAATAACATATTATATTTGTATACCTTTTATCCAATAAAATTCATTATAACAATATGTAAAATAATATGTGCAAAAATAAAATCTGCAAATCCTCTTTCTGGGCTTATACCGTGAAATTGACTTTTATTTTGTGGGTTAACTTGCAATCGAAGACAAACTGAAACAAAATACATACATACAGATATATATTACTTCATATAATTTTTTATATATAAGATAAAAAATGTATATTAGATTATGTGATATAGATTCAAATTTATATTCATTAATAATAAAATAAGCTGAATATTACAAAAATTTTTTAATATGGAATATATATATATATACTGGAAAAAAAACTTTATATATCAAATACATATATCATTAATTAAAAATTTCCACTTTCTGAACTATGCGAAAGGATGCAAAAAGTAAGTAAAATGATGCAAGTAACAAATAACATATTGTTATTACCTCCTAGAATGAAGCAGGACACACAGGATATGAAACCACTGAGAAAACTATTGAAAGGAAATGTGCCGACAAGACAACAATAAATAAATTGAATAACACCTGTAAGAAACACGTACAATAAGTACGCATCGATGATTTTGAGTTTCTTAGGTGTATTTTTCGCATACTCCAACCAAAATTTATGTAACACTGTTAATGCTGTCATATTCGTCGATTCTCGTTTAAGATATTAGGAAATAAAATCTCAAGTTTTCTTGCATACGCGTAAGACAAGTACCGGTGATAGTCGTGATAGTGATAACGGGTGACACGTATGTACTTATGTACATACATGAACAGCCATAAAGAAATTGAAAGGAATAGACGAATAGAGTAGGATCGTCCGTAGACATATAAAATATATAGACGACACCAATGTTGCCAGGGAGCCAGGGAACGTCCCATTTGAACATAGGCACTAGGCACTCATATCGATCGGTGTCTAGGGTAATGAGCAACGTTTGACCAATCAAAGAGTCTTATTTTGAATTGGCCAATTGGTGACGTGTCCAATCGGTCCTCACCGTGTTGCGCACTCGTTTCAAGCCTTTCCTGTAAAGCCTGTATCAGACTATGTATTGAAGATTGAAATTTGACCAATCAGGATAAAAGGAATTAAAATTTCCTTGTCCTGATTGGTCAAACTTCAATCTCAATGCATAGTCTGACTACGCATTGAAGATCGAGATTTAAGATTTAAGATTGAAATTTGACCAATCAGAACAATGAAATTTTAGCCCCTTTTGTTCTGATTAGTCAAATTCCAATTTTTAATCTTCAATCTTCAATTTTCAATGCGTAGTCTGATACGGGCTTTAGGGCACGTCTGAAATCTTAGAGCATATTCAGACGGCTTTGCATAGGCTGGGCTGCATTCGAGAACGTTACCCATCGTCACGTGCACCGAGCGTCGTTTTATCTTCGTTATTTACTGAAAGTTGAACAAAGATAGAACGACACTCGTGTGTACACGGTTCTCGAACGCATCCCTGCGGTCTGAAAGACGCTAGAAATGCTTCGAAGCGTTTGATTGACCAATCATGGCAAAGAGAGTAAAGATTTATTCTAAATGGTTAATGTAATGCTTCGAAGCATCTCTAGCATCTTCTCGACCGCAGCTTGTATCTACACTTTGAAAAGCTTAATGGACCAATTAGAGCGAAGAATTTATATTTTGAAGCAAAAATAGCGTCAAGTAGAGCGTATTTAAAGATGCCGTATTTTGTAGACATGTACATCTACTCTTTTTCTTAATGATCGTTGACCAGGCTTATTGGTCACGAAATTGACGATTTTTAAATTTTCATAATTGGATATGAGTCTTACGTTGATCAGGGTATCGATTCTGTAATTCAAGTGAGAGTGAAAATTACAAAAATGACCGAATTTAGAATTTACTAGGTTTGGACCAATAAAATTATAAATTTTACATAAAATTATTTTTCACACAGTATTCCATGCGAAGTAGCCGTCCTCTTACCGATCGCGGTACGGTTTTTCGCTTCGTGCCTTTAATTTATATTTCTTTTGTTTAATATCATTTTTGTAAAAAAAAAAAAACAAAAACTGTTATTTGGTTGGAAAGATTCTATTTTTTTTTTTTAATTTTAAACATAGTTACTTTTATGATTTTTGTTTTTCACGCCATTAATTTTTATATATATTTTAATGTGAGTTTTGTAAAAAATTGTTTTTTTAGCTAAAAAAGTTTTATTTTTGAAAAATTTTTGCGAAGAGTTATATTTTGATTGAAGAGCAAGATATACTTGACATCTTTTTCTAACATGCTTAATGTCTTTTTTAGATGGATTTTACATATTTTTCAAAGTAAATACACGCATTATATAGTTTTTATAATTTAAATATACTTAGTTTTTTTGGTAATTAAAAATTTTTTTTATGCCATTAATTTATATATTTTTTAATTTTTTTTTTGTACAAAAACTATTATTTTGTCTGGAGAGATTTCATTTTCGATAAAAGTAATTTCCAATTACTTTTATTTTGATTTAAAAAAAGTTATATTTGACATCTTTTCTTTAAATCTCTAATATTTTTAAGGCAATTTTTATATATTTTTGCAAAGTGTATTCACATTATACAAGTGTACAAGTGTACACGCATATGTTCTGGAATATTTTTTTGTTTGAATGGCAACATGTTATATATAAACAACATTCTTTTATTTCGACAAGCGCAATGACGCAATTTTTAGTACATATGTATATACTTTCCAATTACGGATATACGGCTAATATATAAGAAGTTCTCGGTCTAGTATATTATAGAAGTCTAGATAGCTTTGGTCAGATGTATAATAAATTGACATTCAAAATAAAGAGAAAAGATTGCCAATGAATGGAAACGTATTATTTTACTGTATCGAACGGAAGGATGAGATGGAAAGCGATGCTCGATCTCGCGGAAAAGGCTGCTTATTCCTTTGTTGAGAGTGCAGATCTTGATCATGCATGAAACGGTTCAGCTTCAAAGTCAAACTGTTCCTTTTCAGATATTGCTCCTTCTGTCCCTAAGTGCTCGCATTCACATTTAAAGAATTCGCACAGCGGGACAAAAATTATTTCAAACTTTATAATAATCCATATGCTGCACGCTGTCCAGAATGTGAAAATATTGTTGAACAATTACAACTTTTTAATTTATATATCAATAAGATTTATTTGATTAATAGTTTAAGATTTTTATGCTATTGTATTATTTATGCTGTTGTACTATTAATTATTTTTACGCAAAATATTATATATTTATATAATTAATA